GTCCTAGGCACGTTGGGGGGAGACACAGGATTAGAGGATAATGGTCCCAATGGGTACAGTGTTCACAGTACAAAACTGATTTACAATGCCTGGCAGGATGGGAGTCAGGGCTAAGGGCCCAGAATAAACGGGTGTCGTTGGTGGTTGTTTATATTTCAATGGAATGTAACTGAGTACTATAGCAATTGCAGAATACCACGTGGGCCTCGAGGAGAATTGAACAAAGGGGAGGGAAGGGAGAAGGGGAAAAGCACTGGCAAAACACTACAAAAGAAACAGGAACAGAATTTTAGGGAATAGATTTAGGAGCACTGGTGCTGAGAAGACTGGGTTATGAATTAGTGAAACTAGATAATGGAGGGCCTGGGGTCTCAGGCCAAGGAGTTTAGAGGCTGTAGGAGCCACTGGAAGTTTTAAAGCAGGTTAACTGTGGAATAAAGTTGGCGATTTTGGAAGGTTGCCTGATAGTGGCACCTTGATGGGGACCACAGAGTAGGACAGAGACGAGGGTTGTCTTCTTCCCCGATGCCTGGGCAGCTCCTCTCTGTGAGCACACTCACACCCTCCTGCTTTTACACTGTGGATGCTCAAAGGCCACTGCAGAGCTCTGAGCTAGAACACAGATGTGTCCACACTGTGCAGGCCTGTGCCCCGACTGCCAGATGCTGATGGCGGGAATCGCTCAGGTGCGCACATTGATGCCTCTACGTGTCAACTGTTCCAGCTTCCACTGAACTCAGTGGGCAATGCCTCTAATTTTAGGTCTCTGGTTAGCCTCCTTCCCAATTTTATTTTTATTTTATTTTTAATGTACTAGAGGCCTGGTGGACGAGATTCGTGCAATCAGATGAGGATGGATGTCCCTCAGCTCAGTCTGCACCCTCTCACAGTCCAGGAGCCTTCAGGGGATGTCTGACTGTGTGCTTAGGCCCAGTCCCCCCGGGGGAGTAGGCCTAAGCTATCAGTCAGACATCTTTAGCGCTGCTGAGGAGGCAGGAGAAGCTCCCTCCACCACCGCTACTCTCGCCAGCTATGAGCCAAGCTCCTGCATTGAGCATCTGCCCCCTGGTGGTCAGTGCGCATCATAGTAACAGGTCATTCTGTTTGGTTGATTTGTATATTAGCCTTTTATTATATAAGAGTTTTATTTATTACAGAAAGGAAGGGAGAGGGAGAGAGATAGAAACAATGATGAGAGAGAATCATTGATTGGCTGCCTTCTGCACCCTCCTACTGGGGATCCAGCCCGCAACCCAGGCATGTGCCCTTGAAAAGGAATCAAACCCAGGACCCTTCAGTCCTCAAGCCGACACTCTATCCACTGAGCCAAAACGGCCAGGACCCCCATTTTTGTATAGTTTCTCTTCTGGACCCCACCACTCATCACCGAACTTGACCACTTCTCTTCTGGAAAGAAGTTGGTCAGTCCCTCAAATTCGGGAGATCATTTGCTGAGATGGAGGAAGCTGTGCTGTGTGACTAGGCCTTTAGCTTGAAGCCCACGGCCTGCTGTTCATTGATCTCATTTCCTTTTTGCTTTGCTTTTGTTTGTGGAGGCACCTTGGTCAGAAGAAAGATCTGCTGAATGTGTAATGTCGGTCAGATGAGAGCTTGGTGTTTTTGCATCTTGGAGATAATTAAATCTTCTCAGCAACCTTGTATCCCCATTTTACAGACACTGTGCTTATTCAGACTAAGGTGGTCACAGGGCACAGCGCTAAGATGGGGGAAATATCCACTTGTCACGGCATCATGAGCCTTGAAAGTCTATCAGCTGATCACTCCCACCCTTAGGTATACACACACATATGCATATTCATTCATTCTCATTCTTTCTCTCTCCCCTTCACCGCAGCCCCTTCCATGCTTCCACTAAATGTTCTTTCTGCATACAAGGAGGAGAAGGTGTGGGAGAGAGGACTTAGATGTGGGTGGTGAGTTTGCTGGGATCCTGTTTATGTGACTAGAACTCTGGCTTCCACCTCCGAGAGGTCACCTGTTACGATGTTTGTCCTGCAGAGCCAGACCCCATCTCTCAGCACCTAAGGGAGAGGTACAGCTATGAAGAGGGCAGACAGGCTCCAGAGCCACGAAGTACAGCAGGCGAACCGCCTTCCCTGTCACTGCGTTTTCCTTGATACATCCTGGCTCTGTAGGTGGCCACCTCAATAACATAGATACCCAGGTTCAAATTCAGCCCGAGGTCTGTTGCCTAAGCTCGGTGTGCAGTGGCACCTCTGCCTCACCTGTAAGGCTGGTCATGTGCACCCACATTTAGGACTTCTTCATGTAGTTGAATTCGATCTTCCTGAGGACTTTTTGAATCGCAATCCTGGTTATTTCATACAGTTGCTCCCACTGACAACTTCATAAGCACGCCAGTGGATAACCTGGTACCCCGTATCTTTATTGAAACCACCGTTGATACGGAATAAACAGCTGCAGTGCCAGCGTTGCCGCACACCACCAGTGCCATCTAGTCATTCACCCAAAGCCACTGAGTGAGTCTTGTTACTGATCATCAATTCAGTGAACTGTAATATTAATATAATAAGCCCCTACCTCTTTACTTCTCCAAAGGTCAGCTCTTCTGAAAGACATTCACTGCCATCTTGGCTCTTCACCTGATTTCTCCATGACACACTGATATCCCGCACTTTTGTAGGGCTGTTTAGGGCAGATACAAGACGACGTGTAATAGTAGCATCAGAAGCCCGACTTCAAACCTAGACCTTGGGTTCCAGGCCCAGTTTCTTTCCTCTGTAACCATCTTCCAGATGTGGGCTGGGCTGCCCTGGAGACAGGCACTCCTTTTCCCTGGCTCACTGCTCGGCAGGGTTGCTGCTAACGGATCGTTTCCAACTCCAATATTCTATGATTTTTATTGATCTTATGAAATGTGATTTAGGTTTGTTCAGATTATTCAATTAACATACCATTTTTGTTTATCTCAGCCTGTCAATATTATCAACACCTATTCATTCACATTGATGAAAAAAGGAAACATAGAGAATTTGAACAGTTTAATGAGCATTTGAGTATCTTAAAACATGACTTAAAATATGATCCAAACTTTATAATTATTAAACAATCTAGCCCAGCACTACCAATAAAGTACACATTTCTTTTGCTGGATTCTCAGTATTAAAGTTTAATTCACAGAAGAAACTCGCTAAGCTACCCCACCTTGCTCTCCTGCTGAGCATCTCTCCAGCCCCTATGGGGACTGCTGTGTCTCAGAATCTTCTATGGGGGGACGTGCCCCCCAATTCCTTCCTTCTGTTGGCGGTTCGATGTGTGTGTTTTCCTTTCCGCTCACATCTTTCTTTTTAGTGATAAACATCAAAGGGACGCTCCCCATCCTCTCTCCTGTGAGTTCCTGCTTTGACAGTTATACTCTCAAAGATTTATGCAGCATAACAGTCAGAAAGAAATGATAAGCAGAATTTTTTATAATCAATTTACTTTCTTTTAACAAAGACAAGAATGCCTACATAAATGCATCTTTACTTTCAAGTAAAACTCAAACTGATTCTTAGATCAATTATAGAAATACTGATAAACTTTTTGAGAATTTTTAGTAAATCTAATTCTCTTTACACATGCAACACACAGACTTATTGAATTAGAGCAGGTCAGATCTTCTTATATCTTCATGTGGATATCTATAATAATAAAAGTGTGATATGCTAATTAGACTGAACGACCTTCACGGCACCATTCTGGACGTCTTTCCAGATGAAGCCCCTGTAGCAGGGGCCGAGGCAGAGGCGGTTAGGGGCGATCAGGCAGGCAGGTAAGTGGTTAGGGGTGATCAGGTAGGCAGGTTGGGGCAGTTAGGGGCAGTCAGGCAGGCAGAGAGGTTAGGGATGGTCAGGCAGGCAGATGAGTGGTTAGGGACAATCAGATAGATAGCAGAGTGGTTAGGGAAGATCAGGCAGGCAGGCAGAGTGGTTAGGGGCGATCAGGCGGGCAGGCAGGTGAGCAGTTAGGAGTCAGTAGTCCTGGATTGTGAGAGGGTGCAGGCTGGGCTAAGCCCTCCCCAACACTTGCCCCACGCACAATTTCGTGCACCAGGCCTCTAGTTTAATATAAAAAGTATTTAACTAAAGAGATAAACTATCATTGGGTCTCTTACTGAATAACAAAATACACCTTGCATACAGTTAATGTGTGGATCTCATGCTGCATTTTAATTAAAAGTTTATACTTTTCACAGTACTCTATATAAAGAAGCTTTGAAACAGTAATATCATTTGTATGTTTTAGTAATGGCAAAAGAATAAAAATAACACCACTCCCCTACTGGGACATTCTCACAATTTCAAAAGGTTTATTTTATCTTGTACATATTCTTATGTATAGCCTAGATAATGCCAGACCAAGTAGCAGTTACTACAATTTTTTATTAATATGAATTAAATATTGGCAAAGCATACTGATTAGTGGTGGGTTGGCTTTAAAAGTATTAAGTACGGGGTTAAACTAGCAGTACTAAGGATACTTTAAACTACAAATAATATACAAGCTAAAAAATAATATTGTCTTTCTCAGTTATTGTGATAATTTCATGGACTGGAGTGAATTTTGCTGTGACCTTAAATTTAGCCTTTCAATGTGGCCTCATAAACAAAATTACCTTTAACTTTTTTAAGGAAAGAACTGGGAAATTTCCACAAATTGTTTGTTCTTGCCTTATTCTGAGCTTTGTGATATGTATTCAGTACTAGTTCTTGATAATTTGTTAACAAGGGGTTTGTAACACTTTGGACAGATGCACATACTGTTTTCAATCTTCACGGTTAATTATTCGATTTTGTATTTGATGCCAGAACACCCTGACTCCTAATCACTGCTCATTGTTGCAAGTCCATTATGTTCTAACTGTTTGAGTGCTCCCATTGACCTTGAACTGACATTATAAGCTGTGTCTAATCTTTTCAGTCTATATTTCTAATGCTTCTTTTCTTTTTTCCTTTTTTTTCCTGTTCCTTGTTTAGCATCACAATGGGGCTGCCTCTGAGCCCAGCAGCTGACTCCGCCCGCTCGGCCAGGCACGCCCTCTCCCTCATCGCCACTGCCAGACCACCCGCCTTCATCACCACCATAGCCAAAGAGGTGAGTGGAACTTCAGGGCTCTGTACTCGCATTTAGAGGAATTATTGGGCACTGTGAGCTGAGGATCCGTATCCCACAAATCATCCTGTCAGCCAGTTTGTTCTAGAACCATGCAAGCTGACAATTTTGTCCTGCAATACAATTTTGTCCTGCAATAAATGCATCTGTACTTGTGGGCACACCAAATTCCACACAGGCCCAGCCATTACTCTGTGCTTTTCTATTCATTTCTGTTCTAAAAGTTAATCACTTGGGAATATTTAACAATAGTTTTTCAATCTCAACCCGATAGAGCAGGTTTTTTCAAAATAAAATACAAAGCGGGACTAAAGTTTTACAGTTGGGACTACAATTTCTTCTTAAATTATTATTTATGAATTATTGTACTATTTTCTATATGAACAACTGTAAGCTTACTTTTGCCCACCCTTTATTAAAGGTCTTTACATTTTTCAAGCATGTTTACCTGTAATCAAAAACCAAACTTCTTATTTCACATTGGCTCTCCAACTGTAAACAAAAATGTAAGCCATAAACTTGCTAATTGTTTTTCCTATTGCATGTCACACATAAAGACTTGAATACCAATTGATTCCCGCATTCTTAGTGTTCCAACTAATTGCCCATATCTGACTGAAGAACCAGTGAGGAACAATGGGCCAATTATAGAATCTTCCTGTAGGCCGCAGTAGCAGGAAGTATAGGAAAGCATGATGGCTGCTCCTAAGTGTTTTTAAGGTCTGTTCCTTTTCAGCCTGAGTAACGTGCAGACTCCATGTTTGTGGGGTCTGGGCCCTGTCTGAGTTGTTTTTCCTTTAGCTGTGATGAATTTTTAAAATACTAAATAAACACTTCGGAGTCTGCTCTGATAACTGAAACTTATTGGGCCTGTGTCTGCCCCGGAGCCATCCAGAAGAGGCACGCAGCAAATATTTGTGACATGAAGGGAGGAAGGAAGGTCCTAAGCAGACTGAATAGGTTTATAAGAGGCAGTGGGACTTTGAATTCATAGCTAAAATAAATTTGTAGACGTAAGGTTGTATGTTTTTCTAATAAAGCACAGTGTTAAAGTGAGAATCCTATGTCTTTAAAATATACATATGTATATGTATGTATGTGTTTATATCTTTATGGATGTGGTATATTCGTATAAAATGTATGTAAAAATGAACAGACATAGGGGATTGTTTTACGAGTTTTTCTCATCAGTGGGATATGCACAGATAGTAATATTGAATATGTGGAATAAGCCTTATCTCAGTCTGAGCACATGTACAGGTGCTATAAACACCAGGCATTAAACAGTCTCTTTAAAGTAAGTAAACAAGTATTTATATTAATTGTGTTTTTTACTTAATTTGCACCATATACATATATGAGTATTTTTAAATGAACTGTTAAAATAGCCATGCTTTGAATTTATTCTATTCCAGCACTTGGTTAGAAGATAATTTTTAAATATTTTAATGTAATAGTCCACATTTATTGGCTTTTATTTATTTTTTAAAAATATATATTTTATTGACTTTTTACAGAGAGGAAGGAAGAGGGATAGAGAGTTAGAAATATCAATTAGCTGCCTCTTGCACACCCACTACTGGGGATGTGCCTGCAACCAAGGTACATGCCCTTGACCAGAATCAAATCTGGGACCTTCAGTCTGCAGGCCGAGGCTCTATCCACTGAGCCAAACTGGATTGGGCCATTTATTGCCTTTTAAAAACAAGTTTTCCACTTCATTTTGAGTTTTTGAGTAAAATATTGAACTATTTCTCTCTGTGATTGAGTCCCCTATGCTATCCCTATACCCACTCTGCTGACTAGTCCAGGGCCAGTCCAGGGCCTAGGCATGTTTATTTTAATTTACCAACTTGATTGTAAAACACCCAGCATGGTGCCTGAGACCTAGTAAGTGTCACATAAACATCACTTACTGTGATTACTGTATCATGTCCTAAATTTGCTGAAGCCCTTAACTGCTCTTCACCTCAGGGGCATATCTACCAACCTCACAGACCTTCAGTCTGTCTTTCCCTGAGAAATACCATGGTAATATTATATTAAAGTCTTATGTACCCGGGAACTTAGATAATTTAATTAGAGAAGCCTTAACTGGGTTTTTATTCTACTAAATACCTTCTTCTGCAATCAGAAGTATTTCCTTACTTACCCCAGGAGGTTTGTTCTTGTTGATGTTTTATGTATCTACTGTAATAACCATTTCCAGCGGCTAGAAGTGTGAAACTCTGTCAAGGGTCCACCACATCTATAGCACAGAATGTCTTCACAGGTCCACAGACACACTGCTCTGGCCGCGAATACCCAGTCTCAGCAGAATATACACACGACCGCGCTCGCACGAGCTAAAGGGGAAATTCTGAGAGTCATTGAAATTCTCATTGAAAAGATGCCCACAGATGTTGTAGATCTTCTTGTGGAGGTAAGAATACCCTGTTTTAAATGACACAACAGCCTGAATGCAATATTCCCGTGGAGTAATATACATCTCTAAAAGAGACCTTATTTAAATTTCCTCAGAAATCAAAGCGATGGCTATGTCCATGTATCATTCACCTGGAATTAATTGGTCTACATGAGAGTAATTTTTAAAGGTCATGTTCTCTTTGGCATCTTCCATTATAAATAAAACAAAACACCTACAGTATGCTTGGAAAAAAAGTTACTACACTGGGTATAAACAGGAACAGCCTTTGAAGGAAATAAGTGGTTTCTTTTATTGCATTGTCTTTTAAATGTTTTTCGCAGGTAAAAGGTAGCCTGCAGTATAAAGTAAATATTCTTTAGTTTTTAAGTAGATATTAAAGTTAAACTGCCTATAATTTTCATGGGCAAGTGAGGCCTAAGTTAATCATTTAAATTGGGAAAATTAAGTATTTGAAATTAATTTTGGATTTGTATCCTTCCTGGAAAGGTTATGGACATCATCATGTACTGCCTCGAAGGATCGCTGGTTAAGAAGAAAGGCCTTCAGGAGTGTTTCCCAGCCATCTGCAGGTAAAGAACACAAAATAATGTCAGTAACAAATAACTGTTAAGAAACCTTGAACATGGTTAGTAGTTTTGCTCAGTTAGAAATCCAATCATTAATTAATATCTGCTTGCTTTCTAAAACTATTTAGGTGGCCTATAATAAAAACACAACATGAAGTTTTCTCAAAACTTAGGAAATGAATGAGATAACATCTACTGAATATGTCTATATTCCTACATCAGTACTCAAATTAACATTTACATGGAAAAAAAAAAAACAGGAGAGTGAGGAAGTTTGTGGCATGAGAGAGAAAATATACTTGGCAGTCCATAGAACCCTTTATGCCACATTTTTGTTGGTAGATTTTATTTTTAATTTAAAGGTCAGCATCTATATATATTGTATGTGTTTTGCCTATGAGAAAGCAAGAAAAGAAGCTAAAACTTTTATAAATAGCATTGAATATATTAACTATAACCGTAAGAATTTTATGTGTATAGCATATAATTGTTATGAAATAAAGATTTTTTAAGTTTCAAAATGTAGTAACATTATGTTTATTTTCCTTTTAAAAGAGCAACCAGTTGGTCATAGTTACATAACATTTTTCTTTTTAAGACAAGTTCAGTGATTTTAGTTATTTTTGCTCAGTTCTATAGTTCTATGAGTACCTTGTAGTGGAATGCTTTGTTTTACACTATACGTTTCCTGAGAGTAGTATATTTATTTTTGAAGTACATGTATTAGTATGCGACAATTACACCATGCATCTTTATGTTTTCTGTATTCCAGAGTATTATGGCAAGCATTTGATGAATTAATTACTACACTCTATAAGCATGCTCATGTATTTTACATTTTTACAGTAGGTTTTATATTTTAGTCTCTTTCTGATGTACACCATCCAGAAGTTAAAATATGAAGACACATAAGAAAAGACTATGTTATATTATACATGTGTACAGATGCGTATTTTCTTATGATATCCATTAGGCATAATAGAATACCATAATTTTTTAACATCTTGCCACATTAATTCTGGTCTATGTTTTTTTTGTTAAAAAATGTACATACTGGATTTTTCATCCAGATAATTGATATTAAGAACTAATGTAGCTGTTATAGTCCCAGGCTATTGTTCTTTAAGGAAATGTCTAAGTGAAAATGGTCATTTGTCTGTCACCTAGTGGAGGTGAGGAAGCGTTTTTTCCTAGGACTGATCTTACTGAATGCTAGCAAAGTGTTCCTTACAGCACCAGTCACTGCTGTGAACAAGCCTCCCGGAGTTACGGAGAAGAATCCGTGGTGCTTACAGGGCCGGTATTCTCTTTGCCAGAGGATGGCCTCCCCCCCAGCAGTGTCCTCGGTTCCTTAGGTCACCTTCGTTTGCTACACATCCACGTTTGATTCCTATTGTTTAATCACCGGAGAGTAAGGATCCTGCTTCTGTGCCAAGGAAGCAGGCGACTAAACTGAATGCTTAATACCAGGTTTTTTTCTGATTGATAGAAAGCAATTTTTTTGTTGTTTATTCATTTAATAGCATTTATTGAACACCTACTGTGTATCAAGTACTAGCTAGGCCCTGGGGATGCAGTGATGAATGAGATGATATCCTGAAGAAGCACAGGATGTAATGTAATTATAAAGATAAATAATGCCAGGGTGCTGAGTCATGTGCTGGAGTAGGATTACATACCAAGGACAGGGTTAGACAATAAATGGAGTGCTGAACTCTGGATATGGGATTCTTAGGAAGATTCACAAAGGAGAAGGCAGACCAATGTTAATATCTGTGACAATGATTTGCTAAAAGGGGCTGCCAGTTGAAGAGAAGGATTTGTTCTCAGGAGGTTGAGTTGTGGTGACAGATGAGGTGGTGAGTTTGGAGGGAATGATGGGCTTTGCAGAACGAATGGGCACATGCATCTCGAGTTGCACAGAGAACCAGGCTAGCAGATGGTGAGAGCAAAAAAGAATACAGTGAGTTTGGTAAGTGCTGTGTTGTCTTGGCTAGAATGTAGGCTGAGGATGGGAGTCTAGTAGAGTATCATACTTTGAATTTCAAATGAAGGAATTAGGCCATTATTCTATAAGCAAAGGAAAGTCAGCAAAGTTTAAGCAAAAATGTGTAATTCTCTTCCTAGAACAGTTTATAAGACATAACTTTATGAAACATCGGATTTATTAAAAAAAAAAAAACACAAAACACAAAAAACAGTTGTTGACTATCTCTTACTGAATTATGTCAAATATTATTTGTGCTGTGAGTGAATAAGCCACATAGGCCTACTTATTTAAAAGTTAACCCATAAACATAGAAAGATTATTAACAATGGAAGGTTGTAGCTTATGCCAAATGTGATTAGGAACAGACAATGTATTATGGATTGTAGATGGGACCTCAAAAGTTTTACAGGTCAATGCCACCCTGCCTATTGACTGATTTGTACTAGCTTGATAAGTGAACAACAGTAAAAATATCAGCAGAAGTTAATATTATTTCCTTGAAAATCTGCTATGTTCATTCACTTCATTGTACTAGGTGCCTTCCAGCAGTTGTGAACCCGCAACATATAGATAAATGCATTTCACTAAATAGGAAATTCCAAATTTGATGATGGTGAATATCTGTGGTCCAGTCACATTTGCTTTTAAAAATATTTATATAACTATATTCATTTTTGCTTTTTTCCTTTTCTTTCCCTTCCTTTACCTTTTTAAAAAAGTTGGTATGATTTTAGCTTAAGTAGTTTCTGTAATGTTGCTTTATACCAATATTAAGTTGCTATGGCTGGTAGATCATAAAAAGGGATAAAACTTCATTTAGTATTCTTTTTAAATGAGATGATATTTGTCAAAGCACACGGATAAATGCTCATAATATTCAGAGGATGTTAGTTTTCTATGGATCTCTTCATCTTAGTAGTAATGTAAAAATACAATATATATATATATATATATATATGAAATTAGTTAATATATATTTGAATGGATAGTAGATATTTTAAAAAGCACAGGATGCTATCATTTTCATATATGTAAAAATTTTGATTTACTTTTTAAAATAGTAACTAATTTCTAGTCAAGTTATAAAGGGAATTTTCCCATCTCAAGTTATATTAATTCTATTAAGAGCAAATATAGTATACTGAAGTCATTGAATATTTAAAAATTGAAAGTACTCTGCCTTGCTTGGGTTACACATCAAATTCACTATTTTCTTGAGTTCCAAAATGAAGTAGCATCTTGGAATGCTGATTGATCCTGAGTTTTCTTGGGTTTTGTTTTATGTTCTTTTGCTTTTACCTCGACCAATGGGCTTGTGATTCTGGTGTGCACCTGTGTTTTGAGCTTTCAGTTTAAAATTTTTAAGGTGGTAATTTCTGTAAGATTTTCTTTACTGTTTCATCACTTATTTCTCAGATTGCATATTAAAATAAAATTTCCATTTTATTGTTATTATGAAAATCTTCAGTCTTTGCTTAGGTTTATCTCTGTGTGTTGCTATAGACCAGTAGTCAGTTTTATTACTTATAGAATGGCTTAACATCTAATTTAATGAGTGATGAATTTATCCACTGAATTATATAGTTAACTGAATTTCTTTGTTCTCTGGCATCTTTGTTCAAATCACATTTAAAGTTTAAGCTACAAATTATAAAGTCATTGAAAGAAGGATTGATATAAAAAGTTTGGTTTTTCTAATTTTGTTTAGATAATAGCTTTTCAATCAATTGGTAAAACATTTTTTATATCTTATACTTGAAAATAGAAATGGTTTAGAATACATGCCAATAAAATTTGAGAGACATTCTTTCTTATCACTGACTCCAAAACTCACTTGCTGATGCATATTAAAACATGAGGAGATAGCAATACACAATTAAAAAACTAATGTAACCATCTTTTTAAAATTTATGTAAGACTTTACAAATTACCAAGTGCTTTCAAACCTATTTTTTTAAAAATAAATCTTTATTGTTCAGATTATTACAAATGTGTTCCTCTTCCCACCCCTCAATTGCTCCCCTCCACCAGGTTCCCACCCCACCCTCTGTCCTTTCCCCATCCCCCATTGTCCTCATCCATAGGTGCACAGTTTTTGTTCAGGATCTTCCCTCACCCCCACTCCCGTTTTCCCCGAGAATCGTCAGTCCACTCCCCTTCCATACCTCTGATTCTATTATATTCACCAGTTAATATTGTTCATCAGATTTTTTAATTTCCTTGGTTTTTAGATTCACTTGTTGATAGTTACATATTTGTTGTTCATAATTTTTATCTTTATCTTTTTCCTCTTCCTAAATAACCCCCTTCAGCAATTCATATAATTCTGGCTTGGAGGTGATGAACTCTTTTAGCTTTTTTTTTTTTTTTTTTTTATTAATGAAGCTCTTTATCTGACCTTCGATTCTGAGTGATAGCTTTGCTGGGTAGATTATTTTTGGCTGTAGGTTCTTGCTATTCATCACCTTGAATATTTCTTGCCATTCCCGTCTGGCCTGCATGGTTTCTGTTGAGAAATCAGCTGACAGTCGTATGGGTGCTCCTTTATAGGTAACTACCTCCTTTTCTCTTGCTGCTTTTAATATTCTCTCTTTGTCTCTTGCTCTTAGAATTTTAATTATGATGTGTCTTGGTGTGGTTCTCCTTGGATTCCTTTTGTTTGGGGTTCTGCGGGCTTCCTGGACTTGTAAATCTATTTCTTTCCCCAGGTGGGGGAAGTTTTCTATCACTATTTCTTCCAGTATTCTTTCGGTATCTTGCTCTCTCTCTTCTTCTGGAATCCCCATAATTCTGATGTTAGTTCGCTTGAAATTGTCCCAGAGGTTTCTTACACTATCTTCAACTTTCTGGATTATATCTTCTCGCTTCTGCAAAGGAGTGTCCTCTGGCTCTTTGTGTTCTAAATCTTTGTCTTGATTATTGCGATCTTCCAGTCTTCAAACCTATTCTTAAATATATATATATATATATCTTTAAGAAAAGCATTATATAAATTAAAATTTTTGAAGTATAT